CCCCGGAGCCCCGCGCCGCTTCCCTGCGAGGCCTCGCCGGAGCTCGCTCTCTCGGCCGTCCCGCGAGGACCCTGCCCGCTGCCCCCCCCCCCGTCCCGCGCTCCGTGGCTGGGGCGGGGCTGCGCGTGAGGGTGGGGCGCGGGCCGAGGCGAGACGTGGCGGACCAGGCCGCCGGAGCAGGTAGGTGCGCGGCTCTGGCCGGCCGTCCAGGGCGTCGTCCTGGCCCGGAGGGGCGGCCGAGCCGGGAACCAGACCCGCGGCGGGGAAGCGGGCCGGGGTCCCGAGTGGCCACGCCGAGCCCTGGGCATCCGCGAGCCGCGCACTCGTGGGGCGGACGCCCTCGCCACACCGTGCAGGCTCTGGGCCTTGGCTAGGTCGAGGTGCAGCGTCCGACTGGGCGGGCAGCTCCCCAGCTCCGGGCTGCAGACTTGGAGGCCGAGCCTGCCGGGCGGGCCAGGGCCTTTGGGTCCGACTGCGCGAAGCCCGCGCTGTAGCTCGAACGCACTAGGGACCTTCCTCCGGACGCTTTTTCCCTCCACCCAGCCTCTTCCGAGGGTGGCTTGAGAGCGACCTTCCACGGAAACCTTTCCATGTCCAGATGCCTGGCCTGAGTCCTGGAGGGCCTGGGAACTAGAGGCTCCCTGGGATTTCCTTTAAGACTTGGAAGTGTTGCTGGCCCCTGCCTCTTAGGGAACCCGACGCCCCTGGGTTGTGCGGCGGAGGCGCTGCGCTCCGGACTTGAGTGTACAACGTCGCCCCTCTCCTTTGTGCCCTTGGGTGGCACGCAGCGCCAACTCCATCCCGGACTCTCCCTCCGTCCTGTCGCCAGGCGGCACGGAAGCCTGGACCTCCCCGGAAGACGAGGCTGGATGGGGCTTGGCTGGCTGCGGGCGGCCGAGGGAGAGGGGACTTTGCCTTGGGTTTGAGCGCCTGACCCTTAGTGTAGACACTTAGGCCTAAGACAGCGATTAGGACCCAGACGCGTTTAGCTAATCCTCTCCCTGCCTCCCAGCTGCAAGAGACAGTTAATACTTCAAAAAACTCTTTTTAAAAACATCCTCGGCATGTAGGATTAAGCATTGGAAAGTAGAACTTTTGTACACCATTACACAGAGTGCTAATAACAATATTTAAATCCACAAACTAAGTAATTTTGTGTGAATCTGGGAAGGAGATGGAGTTCAGCTTTGCTGTTTACCAGCTCCACTGAATCATCACTAAGTGTATTTTAGTGATAATGAATTATAAATAAATTGCTAATAAGCAAGGAAAGAAGCCAAATTATAATTTAGAGTGCACTTTAAAGTGAAATGGACCTGTAATGAGGGAACGATTTTGCCTTCGACCTGGAGAAAGTTGTTTAAATTTTCTGAGCTAGTATCTTCATCCTGAGTTTAGTCATCCAGCAGGGAGGTGAGCTGTAATGTAAACAATGTAAAACTCTTAGGGCCCAGCACCTAATAGGTCCTCTATAGCTAAAATTATTTTAAAGTATCCACAGGTATTGTTTTTCTATGTAAGATTCACTCTCTTTTTGCTTTGAAAAGGCCTTTCTCATTTAACTCTCATCACGTTGCGAAGTTAAAAGTGATCATTTTTCAACAAAAAGGTATTTTAGTTCTCTGCAGAATAAGAACATAGCTCTCACGGCCTGCTTCAGGTGACCCATGCAGGTAAGGCAGAAGAATGAGGGAGCTAAAGAGACACTGGGTGAAAATGATGAATTTTGGGGCGCTGATTCATGTGACCTGAAAAACGCCATCCATTTCCTGATTCACCTCAATTTCTATTCGGAAATATGAAGCATCGCTTGTGTCTGAACTAATTAGGCCACTTGGTCTTGTCTTTCCCTTTCTCCCTAGTGCCTGGGTTTCAGCCTTGTGGCTCAGTTGCCTTCGCAGACCGGAGCAGTGTGGAGGGGCTGAAAAGGACGATGAGGACACCACCTGGGAGAGATGGAGATGCTTCTATGGGCCACAAGTGGCTTTCAAGGAAGCCTTGGTACGGTTGGTCTCTGAGATGTAATAAGATTGCATTAAAAGTATGAAAACTCTCAGCCTAGACAGTGTGGCTGGCCTCTTGACAATTGCATCTTACCTGGATTTTCCTACAGATGACGTAGGCAAGCATACCAGTCACCACCCGTGAGCTTCTCTTTTTGCCTCTGGTTTCTTTCTTTTAAATCTGTGACATTTAAGAACTGAAGAAAAAAGCTAGATTGTCTGAATGGTCCCATCTTTTTTTTTTCTTACTGTGATTAAGCATTGGTACAAAGAAGTTAAAGTTTGATGTTTCCATAAGAATGTCTAGAGCTGCTTTTTGTTAATAAACTTCAAACTATTGGGAAGACTGGTGATCGTGACTACAGGAGAGACTGTGATATTCCCCAGAGCTCTGACAGATGAAGAATCTTGAAATGCGGGAGATTTCAGAGAGCTATCGGCCCCTGTGCTAGCCTCTTGAGCTGGCTTCTTTGACCCCAAGAAGTGTTCGCTCCTCTTTAATGCAGAGCCCACAATTTGGTGGAGTTAACCAGGCTAGTTTTATATTTAAAAGAGCAACTCAGAGACTTGGATAGAAAGATGAGAATAGCCATAGCACAGAGGGCATGGTACAAAGCACAGATGTCTAGTCCTTACGCTAAATGACCAGGCCATCCTATGCTGCCAGCATGTGCACTGGAAACTCCGCCATGATCACTTTGGTGCAGTCTGACCTCCACTCACATCCACCCGGGGTTCCTCATGCTTCCGGGGTCCGCTCGAGGGATGTACTCTCTCTGCCAGCTGTTCCAGGCAGGCTGACGTAGGATGCCCACCCTCACCCATCCCACATGAGGTTTTCTGCCCTGTGGGCTCTCTGGGATGCTTCCCACACGTGAGAATCGCATCCCCCACTTCATGGCCACTCTCCTGGTTAAGTCCAGCATTTATGGAGGTAAAGAGCTCCAGGATGCAGCCACCCTGAGCACACACTCAAACATGCTCACTCTCAGGAAGCAAGAGAGGACCAAGTGTCAACTCCCACAGTTATTTTTTTGAAGATTTTGGTGACTTCAAAGTCTCAATAAGGATTTATTAAAACACTATTTCACGTCAGCCATATATCCAGAAAAACCAAAATATTTTAGAACTTTGGGAAGGTTTGATCTTATCTTTTTGGTTAGATTTCTAGATGTGTTTTCTGCCAACTCAATTTCCTGAAGACAAAATTGGTCCACTAGAAGAGTCCAGATTGTCTTTGAAAGAATGGCATGAGGAGAAGAAACAAACGGTTTATAAGATTTTTGGAATATCTACAGAAAATGCAGATGGCTTGTGGCACGAAGATGAAGCATCCATATGGTTTCCTGACTTATTTTCTGACATTGAGACTTGTATATATCTTGAGTGTGTATAAGCAAAGAGTGGCTGTACTTTTTTAAAAGATGTATTTATTAATCAGTGTCCTCTGCATTCCTTTGTCTTTGAAAACAGAGCTCTGTGGGAGAAATAAGTATCTTTGGAAATAGTTTCAAAAGTAATATTCATACTGCTTAGATTCAGAAGCACAAATTGCTCTGCCTTTCTTTGGATCACCGTTTACCAGGGAGTTTAGCTCATAATGTTCTTGAGTTCATGCAAAGTTTCTATGAAATTCAGCCATAGGCAAAATGTCTCCAAAGCACATCAGTGGGAAGAAGGGCCATCAAGCATACTGTAGACACTGTCAAATCCTATTTCGGATCTTCCTTTCCATCCCCATTATTACTGCCTTAATTCAACCTGGCAGATTCTCTTACCCAAAATATGAACACCTCTGCTCACAGATCTCACTGCCTTCAGAGATTACTATGCAGAGAGCACCCTCCCCGAACCACACGTACACACAGCATCCTAAATTACACAACCTGATCTCATTTGAATTGCAAACTACTTGCCTTTAAAACGCAAACAAAACTTTTCTTGCAGCTAGATGAGGCCATGGAATTTAATTATAACCAGTAAGATGTAAGTTGGTTGGGATTCCATGAAAGGCTTCAACTAATAGAGCAGGACCTTTTCTTCCCCTCTTTTACCCTTCATTCTGACCATAAGGTAACTATGAGGTATAAGCCCTGGGCCAAGGATGATAGTCAAAAAAGAGCCGAAATCCCCGGTGACTTTAGGAGCCCGCAGCTCAGTACTGAATGCCCTAATCACAGACTTCATGAGGAAGAAATTACCTTCCACTCTACTTGATCTGTCATCATTTCTGTTCTGTTTTCGGTAAGAGGATGCAATTCCTCCTGACGGTATTAATATTTGTCAGCTTTCTCATCTCTGGTACACAATACCTAACACCCACAAATTAAAGGAGGAGAGGCTTAATTTGGCTCATGGTTTGGGGGTTTGAAATCACAGTGGGCTGGCTCCAAGGCAGAAACAGCATGGTGGAAGGGCCTGGTGGAGAAAGAGCTGCTCATCTCATGACAACCAGAAAGGAGAGAAAGAAGGGAAGAGGCAGGGCAGAAGATGCAACCTCCAAAGGCATGCCCAGTGCCAGGCCCTTCCATCTGAAACATTTAGCTCTGAACTCAAAAAGGATTCATCCACTGAGGGTATTGCACCCCATGACCCAGTCACCTCCAGAAGTCCCACCTCTGAACACATGAGGCTCAGGGGAACCCTTTAAACCATAGCACGTGGTGTTCCTGAGCTTCACCTTCCATACCAGCCCCAGGCAGCCCTCCCTTCCCACCTTCCTACCTTGCTTCCCAAACTACAGCCAAGCATGTTGCACACCATGCGCAGTGCACAGCTACACAGGAGGAATCGAATGCCAAGGACTTAGGCCTCCCTGCCCTCCTCAGCTACAGTCTCCTGGAGAAGGTGAGTGTTGACTATGGATCCCACCCCTGTGTAATTGTAAGATCCGATGAGTTCAGTGACAGACCAACACTGAAAAGGGCCAGGGAAGTCTGGGCAATCAAGAGAGGCATCCCTGGAAAAGTAGCACAGTGAGCTAGCATTTGAAGGATGCGAAGAGATGGATGAAAAAGTGGGGGAAATGAGAAGAGGGTAGATTCCAGAGAAGAAAGGAAATACTGATTAACTTTGGCTATTAATCCAAACACAGTTGTTAACGTCTCAAAGGTAGTAACAGTTAACTGCAAAAGAATAAAACAGATACTAAGTTCATTCCATGGTGGTATAAGACAAGACCTTAAATTCAGCAATATATAAACAACAAGTTTATTTTTTACAGTTTGGGAGGTTGGGAAACTTTTGGAGCTTTTAATGATAACAGCCAGCTGCAACATGGGTGCCACAGTGGCACAAGCTCACCACCACCACACTAGGTCAAGGCACTGCCAGGCTTGATGTCTCCTAAAGGCCAGGTCCATTCTTCCAAGATGGCGCCTTGTCACTGTGGAGAAGAGAGAGAAGGGAAGAAGACCCAGTGAGTTCTCTCCAGCACTTTCTTAAGGTCCCTAATGACTCAGGAGAAGAGCGCTCTCCATCCCAAACACCTCCTAAAGGCCCCACCTCTTAATATTGATCTGTTGAGGATTAAGTTTCAACATAAATTTTGGAGGGGACACAAACTTTCAACACCGACCACTGTGTCCCTGCCTCCCCCAAGTTTATGCCATGTACAGTATCCATCGATTCCACCCACATAGCCCCCAAAGTCTTAACTTATTGCAATAGTAACTTTAAAATATAAGTCCAAATTCTCCTCTATATTTGTCTGTATCAGATATGGGCAAGACTCAAAGTATGATTCATCCTTAGGCAAACTCCCCCTCCAGCTATGAGCCTGTGAGATCAAAGAACTTAAGAGCTTCCAGAATACAATGATGGCACAGGCACAAGGTGTTATGGTTCGTGTCCAGACATCCCCAAAAGTCTCATGCAGGTGGGGCTTTCTCAGAGGTGGCTGGATCTAGAATGTGTGACACTGGGATTGATTCATGGTGTGATGCTAGGCTCAAAGGCACTAGAAGTAAGCATGTTGAGTGCTTCCTACCCAAAGTAGCCTAGATAAGAGATAAGGGGTAGAAAGAGCTGTGGTCTCCCCTTCTTGCTTTGCTACCTTCTGCCAATCTGAAACTGTTTCTCCTTTTCGATGCCTCTCTGCTATGCCACCCTGCCTTGGACACAGCCCATAATGGACTGAAACTTCTATAAACTGTGAGCTAAGTAAACGTTTTCCCTTTTAACTTTGAGTGTTGGGTATTTTGACTCAGCAAAGAGAAAAGCAGTTAGAGTTCAGTACCAGAGAAGTTGTTTTGTTGCTGTGTATTATACCTGACTATGTGGTTCAGAAGTCTTTGGGACTGGCTTGTGGGAAGAGTTTAGAAATGTTTGAAGATGCCAGCTGAAGAAGTAGAACTTGATGAGAGATTCTGTTCAGAGCTCAGAAGACCAGAAACTGATCGAAATCCTGCTGATAAAGACCAGGCTCATGACGGCTGGGCTGAACAGAGCCAGCAGGGCCGAGTAGGGCCAAGCGGTTGCAGGCTGACTGGGACCTGCTTGCTCCGGCTTGCTCCACCAGCTTTCCAACAGCCACCAGGGCAGGGTGAGGAGGACCCCCCGGGGCAGGCCCACCAGCTGAGGTCTGGGCCACACGGGCCCTCCAACAATACACCCCCCTACCCGGCCTCTGGCCTTTTCGCTGTGCAGCTACTTGGTTACACACTGCAGAGGCACAGGGGGACAAAAGCCATTGTCCTGAGCTCCAAAAGTGAACAACAGAGAGAGGGCCTGTCTCAGGCTCCCTGATGAAAACAAGCCCACTGGAAAAGTGAAGGGAATCTCTGCAATAAAGGCACACCAGACCACCGTGATTGGTAAGCTGGAGGGATTATCAGCTCCCAATGGAAACTGGATTTCTTCAGGGGAAAAGCAGCTGAAACCTGCAGTAGAAACTTGCAGAGTGCAACCCTGCAGGAGGACAGGGAGCTTGGGACTTGCAAACAGAAATCTGCCTGACTCGCATGGATCTGGGACTGGCTTACTGAGACTCACTGACTTATAACTGCACACCGCTGCCCACGTCTATTGTGACAGGAGAGACACACCTTGAAGGAGGCTCTTTATTTTTTATTTTAATTTTTATTAAATTCTTTTATTGGTACATTGTAGGTATACAACACAATTACATTTCTCCTTGGGAACTGTACCTTTACATAATGCATCTTGGTTCT